GCATATGCACCTGTTGTGGGCAGACTAGATTGTGGGGCATTTCCAAGTGATCCCTATGGTTTTTGGCAGGTGAATGGCTATGGAATTTTAAGTGTTTTCAAAAATGATTGGGACAGATTTGAAGGTGAGTGCCTAGAGTTTTTACTCTGAATTCCTTCTGTACTTTCACTTTACAAGTAACCAAGGAAGGAAATGGGGGAAAATGACAGAGTACAAGTTTTGATTTATTGTGTACAAATAACACTTAAAGAAACTGTGATGCATAATTATCTTCAAGTGTAGAAGGGTTAGGCTTAAGATGCTGAGATCAGTGAGCCAAGGTTCATGGGTGAAATGGCCTTTACAGCTTCCCCCAGCTCAGAGAGCCTAATGCACAGGCAAAGCACTTGAGCTAAAATGAGTTAAAATGGGCATTGGCTCTCTTCAGTAACAACCTCGAGCTTTTTTCCCTCTCAGTGGGCATAACAGATTATCACTTAGTTATAAAAGAGGAGAAGGAAAATACCCGAATGGCTTTTGAGTTGACCCTTTCACTCCCAAGATCTCATTAGTAATTCTCTTTACTGTCTATCATACAATTCTGATGTTGCAAGTATGGAGAATGTGTGATTCCAGAAATTATCCATACCCCCCACGGAAGACTTTTTGATTTGCACCCCCTTCCCCCCAGGATTTTCCATACCAGGCGGTCTTTGACCACCCCCCATCCCTACCAGGAATTTCCAGAATTTTAATTGGGGACTTAATTCTTACCACCATCGGAAATTCAAAGTAGTTTTTGTACTTGTAAAAAGAGAAAGTGAATACTAAGTTGGTTGTGTAAATGCGGTAGAATTTTATTACAACACTGAAAACATTAAGGTTAACATTAAAAATGTAACACTTTGTTAAGCTTATACTTTTAGCATCTTTACCATCATTTTGGCAAATCATATCTGTGTTGTTTTTATATAAAATAATTTATTAGCTTAAACATCTGGGTTGCAAAATTTAAAATGATTTAAAATGTCGATTGTTCCGTGTACGCGTATACGTTTTTGTGCTAACTCCGATGAGAACGTTTCACTCGCTTAAACAACTTTGCAAACGATAGTAAATAAAACAGAAACTTACAAGGTTCCTTTGTCTACACATTTTGTCACTTTCTTCAGGTTGATTCTTATTTAAAGACCTAAAACTTCACTAGCACACACATGTTAACAAGGTTTTGTGCACATCGCCACGATTTACTAAATTTGCTAGGTAGCCAGGCCTTCTGAAGGACGAGCAAGAAATGGGAATGGCCATGTTGAGATGGCCATTTCAAGTCGTTTTGACTCCATTCCTAGCTTTGGGAGGTTGTAGCGCTAGCTAACTCGAAGAAAAACAGAAATATTAAAGCTTATAATGTTAACTTGATCTCAATGGCCAAGAGTACTGACTTTTGTTTCAAAACAATGTACGTGAGTATGTTTTTGTGCTTCAGATTGARCGTATATATTGCTTTAAATGTTTTGTACGTGGTTCGTTACTCTTTGGAAAAGTAGTATACCACGAAACCCCCCTACCCCTTGGAAATTACTGCCCTTGAACCCCCCTCCCCCTCAGAATTTGCAATGATCTTCTGTGGGAGGGGGGGTATGGATATTTTCTGGAACCACACAATTTGGTACTGGATCAACTGATAATCCCCTAAATGATATTTTTCTTTATGCTCATCACTTGTCTGCTTGATACTGTACTCGTAATGTAAGGAGAAATTTGAAATTCTGTCTTGTCACTTGTGGGAGTTAAAGGTTGAAGGGATATAGAGAGCCTGAAAGCATTAAAATGTGGTGGTGTTAAGACATACAGGAAAGAGGTGCATGTAGGTTTTTTGGGGAAAGGGCAAGGCGTGTTGTTTTTCACCCCAATTTGACCTTAAGTCAACAGTTTGAGTCCAGGGTCTCCCTTTTCCCCTCCATGGGCAGGGCTTGAAATTAACGGTAACCCGTTAACCAGTGGTTAGTAATTTTCAACGTTTGGTTACTAAACATGTGTCCGACTAACCCAACATGGTTAGTAAAATTTTCTAACATATTTAAACATTGGTGGACTTTGGGACAAAGAGCACTTAGACCTGACTCTCAGAAGAGTACTTAAAATACTCAAGTTGTTAAATCCACTTAAACTCTTTTGAGAGAATTTGCTGTAGATGTACTGTTCCTGACTAATCATGGTAAATGGGAGGGAAATAAAATAAGTGCATAATTGTCAACGATTTTAAGGTCACCATGCAATTTCAGCCACTCTTTAATTTGTCTTAGTCGTTATTATCAAAATGTTGAATATTTGAGATCTTGTAACTTGTGAGCTTGGATACCAAACTTTATAATTTGCTTAGTAAAAAAGATGTCTACTCACCTGAAGGGTTAGTGCTCCAAAATTAAATTCAAGCCCTGATGGGCCATGAATATTATATCTTTTGTGCATACTGTATAGAGTATACTCACATGTGCTTTCTTTTTTCCTACATAGGTATGAATGTTAGAGATTTTACCACAAAGTGGGGTGGTGAGGATTGGGATCTTATTGACAGAGTATTCTCTGTGCAGCTGGAAATTGAAAGACTTAAACAGCCGGGGTTGTTCCATTACTATCACTCTCACAAGGGAATGTGGAATACATAGATTCTATAGGCAAACTAATAGCGTTTTAAATTGATCATGTATTTAGGAAACCAAGGCATGCAGATTGGTGGAAGGCTAAAATAGGTGTATGAAAGGGGTGGTCCTATCCTAGTTCAAATAATTTTTTCTTTGTAAAATTTAATCTTGTTGCATTACTATAGACAGATGAGTTAAAAGAAAACTTGTGCTTGTGAACCAACTTTGCTGTTTTCCTATAAAATTTTCCAAAGTTTCTTCAAATCTTGCCAGCAAACATTTATTTTTCTATCCCATCCTTTTTGCTAGATGTTGTTTTTTATGCTTAAATTATAAACACGGAAACTTCAGATACAAACAAAACATTATTTAATCATGCATGGCGATATCTGATTACAGAAGACCCTTTTCTTTTGGGACCATAAGGCCATTCCAAGCACTGTGATTGACTGTGATTGGCTGTCAAAAATGCTACAAAAAAATTATTTTTTTTAATTTTTCAATTGCGATTAGTACAATAATGAGTAAGAAAACGAGGATGTACTTATAAAGTTAACAATGCCCATGAAGAAGTTATCTCCATCACTAAATCCTGGATCAATTGAGCTTTCAGTCCTAGTAGTAGTTCTGTTGGTTCGAAGAATTTAGTATCAGGTCAAATAACAATCCCTAGTCGATATTTATCTCTCTTCTCATTGCTTCTCTGCTCGATACTGTTTTGATGTTGGAAGGAGAAATTCTGTTAAGATCATCCATGGGAGCTTAAAGGTTAAACACTAAAATGATGACCTTAATTTGCTTACATCTAGTTAAAATGATCGGTGGATACTGACTTGTAAAATCAGTGTATAGTATTGCAAAATTTTCCCAGAGAAAGGAGGAATTTTTATTATTTATTCTCTAATCAAGCAATTTAGGATTTCCATTCATTATTTAATATATTTTTTACGTTTGATAAAAATTTTATTTTACCACTAAAGGCTTTGTTATGCAGGACTACTAGAGCGCTCGCCTTCCACCAATGTGTCCCGGGTTCGATTCCCGGACCCAGCATCATAAGTGGATTTAGTTTGTTGGTTTTCTAGTCTGCTCCGAGAGGTTTTTATCCGGGTACTCAGTTTTCCCCTCTCCTCAAAAACCATCATCATTTGAATTTATTTAATTTAGAGTTTATTTGCATTTACGCAGGACCCCACAAGCTGTTCAGCTTTAAACATTATCGTGTCTAAATAAAGGTGTTATTATAATTACTACCAAGTCTTTCTCTGTTGATAGCAAACTGTGCCTCTTCTTGGACCTGTGGTTTATGTGAGGCACTGTCATGGGCAACCACCAATTCACAGGTGGCCCAAGCTCTGCCACAGGCTCTTTCACAATGGATTATTAAAGAGTTTGTTTAGTGGATTAGTTGGACCACAGGTAGCCCAAGCTCTGCCACATGCTCTTTCACGGTGGATTATTAAAGAGTTTGGATAGTGGTTTGGTTGGACTTGCTTTTGAGCTCCGCAAATGTAATGTTGTGTGAAATAATCAAAGAAATAAAGTCTTACCTTCATAGAGAGTAGTCTGTGTTGTTCTCGCGATTTGTGGCCATTTTGATGTGTTTTAGCTTGATGCCCTAATCGCCACCGAGTTACCGTGCACAAGATACGGGTCTTTTACTTGGTAGGGCTCGGACGTTGAGCTGAAACAGCAAAATGGCCTCAAATCGCGACCAGAATAGCACAGACTACTCTGTATGAAGGTAAGGCTATTTCTTTTATTATTTCACACAGCTTTATATTTATGGAGCTCAATTGCAAGTCCAACTAAACCACTCTACAAACTCCATAATAATCCACGGTGAAAGAGCCTGTGACAGAGCCTGGGTCGCCTGTGGTCATTTAAGAATAAAGGACTACCCCAACTCCCCTAATCCCCCGCCCCACGAACCATCATCCGAAATTTTGATAGTGCGGCAGTCGCACAATGAAATAGATGGCACGTTGTGTGACGTAAAAATTAAGGATGCAATCTCGTCCCTAGGACCTTGGTTACAGAGAGAAATTAATACGTTTCCTTCACGAAAGTTTACAAGATTTTGCCGCTTTATTTCAATATGATTTCCATAGTTTCAATTTTATTTTGGACATTATCAGTCAGTATATTGGTAGCTATCACCATTTTCGTCGGGTTGGTAATCTACTTGCTCCTTATACACGCGAAGTACGACCATTTACCCGGACCCAAAAGAAATGGCTTCCTCACCGGTAACATGGCGTTAGTCTACGAAAAGAGAACCAAACTCAACTTAACGATCCACCAGATTTGGGCCGAGCTTGCCTTGCAACACTCCCCAATGTTCGTGTTTTGGTTTTTCCATCGTCCAGTTGTCATTATAACAGACGCTCAGCTTGTAAAGGAAGTCTTAATTACGAAAAATCTCCCAAAGGACAAGTTCGGATACAGCCATCTCGCCTTGCTTTTTGGCGAGAGAATGCTTGGACAAGGACTTCTTTCCGAAGTTTCCGAAGAGGAGTGGCACTGGAAGAGGGCCACATTGGATCCAGGGTTTTACCGTCCGAGTATAGTGGGGATGATGGAAAGTTTTAATATGACATGCGACTCTTTCTTACAAAGATTAGAGACCCTTGCTGATGGAAAAGCGGAAGTTTCCATGGCTGAGGAACTTGTTAGGATAAACTTAGACGTGATAGCAAAGGTATTTTAAAATATTTAGCCATCCTAGCCACTAAACCCGCCCTTCCCGGTCTTTTCCTTTTTATAGTCACCCTCAAATTGGGGTGTAGGGAAGAATTCCTGTTTCATCACACCTGGCAGTGAAAAGGTTATTATTTTAAGAGTGGTTTTTTTAAAAATTGAATGCATGATGAGTGAATTGATTTTATTTCGTGAAGGCGGAGAAACCAAATGATGATTACAATATATTCTTGAACAAGTGCCCATGCTTTAGTAAGCACCCCCTCAGCCATTTTGTCAAACAGGCTAGGTGCCCCTCTCTGTCCTGGACCTCACTTCCTTGTATGGTTGGGATACAAAGAAAGCCTGTTTCTGTTGCTATCCTATTTATAACTTTTAAAACTACTTTGGGATCAGTGCACTGCCAGGTTAATAGTTTCTTAATTAATAGCCCTCTCAATTAAGCACTGTCTTTCCAATAAGCTCCCAGCTTTTTTTTTAGCTGAAGTTTTAAATATGGAATGCTATAAGAGTAAATTGTGGAGGTGCGGTGGCCTCATGGTAAGTGCGCTTGACTCCGGATCGAGTGGTCCGGGTTCGTGCCCCAGCCAGGACATTGTGTTGTGTTCTTAGNTAATCATGTTGTATTGGATCTTGAATTAAATGAATTGTACATTACATTCAAAATGAACAGTGGGTAAATGAAGCTGTAATATATCTGATTTTAAATTGTTATGCATGACTGTAGCTTAGTAGAATATTAAACAAACATTGAAATGCTGTCACTTCACTACAGTAGTTTAAGACCATAATAAATGTAATATTTAACTGCATGTGTGGAGGCGCGGTGGCCTCATGGTTGGTGTGCTCGACTCTGGATTGAGTGGTCCAGGTTCAAGCCCCGGCCGGGACATTGTGTTGTGTTCTTAGGCAAGACACTTTACTCTCACAGTGCCTCTCTTCACCCAGGTGTATAAATGGGTACGGGCAATTTAATGCTGGGGGTAACCCTGTGATGGACTGGCATCCCATCCAGGGGGGAGTAGAAATACCCCTAGTCGCTTCATGCTACAGAAACCAGAGTGAAGCACTGGCCTAATGGGCCACTGGGCTCGTAAACAGACTTTACCTTTTATAAGAGTAAATTATTGATCTGTAACTGGATTAAAAATGGGACATGAATAGATTGGGTTTGTCTCATAAACCCCTGCAGGGGAGTTTTCCCAGATAAAGCAGAAAAGCAATCATTAAGGATGAATTATTTTAATAATAAGTGTCGTTTACAGGTCATGCTTTTTTTCCAAAAATGTGGATTATAATTGCATTTTTGGATCACCTATCAACCATTTTTTATCATCCAAGTGTCTAAAACTGCTTTTGAGGACTTAGAGTATGGAGAAATTTTTTTTTATTGAGCAAATTTTTTTTAGTCATCTGTTCCATCCTTATTACCATGTAACTGTGGCCATTTATTTCACCACTGAAGGATTATTTTGACTTGTTAGGTTGCCTTTGACCTGGATTTGAACTCAACAAATAATCCTGACACCCCAATACCTATCAATATCAGGATAGCTTTGGAGGGCCTCATTCAAAGTTTCAGAAAGCCTTTCATGCGGTTCCAGCCCTCCACCTTTGGCTACCAAGCTAAATGCAGAGAGGCTGTACGTTTTGTGAGAGGTGTGGCCAAGGAAGTGATTGAGAAAAGATTGAAGGCAAAAATGAAAGGAGAAGATCAACATAACGATCTCTTGTCACACATTCTGCTGTTACCCGAGAGAGACAGTTGCACCACAATGGATGACATGGTAGATCATTTCATGTCATTTGTAGTTGGTGGTAAGTGGGGGTTCTCATAGTCTCACTTGTAGCATAAACCACTTAACCCTTTAACCTTTAATAGTGATAACCAACCAATATCTAAAAAATCTCACCCCTGAATCAAACATCTAGTTCATGAGAAAAAAAAATGACGAAGAGGCAGGGGCATAGCCAGGATTTTTCAAAGGGGGGGGGTCACAGAGGCTACTCACCAGATTGTCATGTCGACCTCCACACCGTGCATGTTTTACTTAATGTTACAGTTTTGGGATGAGCAGTGAGAGTATAGAGGGCAGGCCTTGATATTGTCATGGCATTTTCACCACCTGAATATTGTAGGATATTTGCTCAAAAGGCCTACCAAGGGGGGGGGGGTCACAAGCACCCCAGGACTCCCCCTGGCTACGCCCTTGAGAGGTCAACAAGTTCTTGATTATTAGGCAAATTCTCCCTGTAATTACCAAAGGAAAGATATTGTGAACAGAATGGAAAAATTGCAAACTGTAGTTGGGGTGTGAAGGATTAAGCTTTAGACTCATGAAGTGGGTAATGGGCAAAGCAGAACATGACAATTTAAATTTTTGTGTACCACAACGTGTTGACCTGACCTTCTTGTTTGGTGCATTGCATAGTGTTTAACATTTGCAAAAAATATATTCAGGGTTATTGAACTTTATTCCACCAGTGCCTCTTAAGCTCTGACCCTTTTCACCTTGCCTGTACCAGTTCTTGTCTATTCCTCTTTTCTACCCTTCCTCTATCTGCTTTAAAGCTAAAAGTCCAGATCATGAAATAATGTCAAAGAATGTTTAATAAGATACCTCAGGGAGCCAAATTTCCACTACAGGAGGCCCAAGAAGTTTGGTTGAAGAGTATCCAAAGGACAAACTTTCAGTGAAACTCATAATAGATCAAAAGCTCTTACAGACTAAATTAAATATCTAAGGTCACCAAAGGTTATCCTTGTTCCCAAGGCCATTTTTTCATCCCGTTGTCACAGTAACCATTCCTGAGGGCGAGAGAGATTGGTAAGGAAGAAGAAAGACCCTGGGATCAAGGCTATGCGCGTGGGAGACCTCCTCACGCGAGTGAATCCGCGCGGGGAACTGTGTAATTCATCTTTTCCCATTTGAGCGCCTGACCGTTGGCTGGACTGTACTGGCATCACTGCTACACACAAAACATTTTTTTCAAATGCATTGAATCTCGCATGATTCAAATTATTTTTCAGGTGAGGAGACCGTCTCGAATCATTTAACGTTTCTTCTTGCGGCGATAACTTCTCATCCCAGGGTGGAAGAAAGGTTTGTTACACGTTTTAGTTGCAGGTCTTTTACTTGATGAAACATCCTATTTTAATCTTTACTTGTATAAATTAGTAATTTTCAAGAATATCTTACGTTTAGACTTAAGTCTATTTAAGTAGAGAATTACGGTAAATTTCAAGGTTGGCTAAAGAATAGAGAGGGTTGTTAAGTTACGAAAGAATCGATTGAATGTCTCCCATCAAGTGTTACACCAACTGCCTCGTTATTACAAACGCCCGTCCTTTAAGTTTGAACACTCAAACGAGGCTACTACTAAACAATGCCTATTATACAGGGTCCATGATATTCACTTCATACGTTCGCTTTCCTTCTATAGGATTGTGGCTGAAATTGATGAAGTCCTAGGCAGTCGATGTGCCATGCGCTACGAAGACCTCGCAAGGCTCAAATATCTGGAACAGGCAAGCAAGGAGGCTCTGCGCCTGCATCCACCAGAACCAGCGATCACGCGCGTTGCGAATGAAAGCATGACCCTGGGCGACTACCACATTCCCGCCAGAACGAGCATCATGGTGAACGCGTATGTGCTTCATCACCATAGTAACTACTGGGACAACCCAGAGGAATTCGACCCAGAGCGCTTTTCAGCGTCAAATCAGGAAAATGTTGAACACTATGCTTATTTTCCTTTTTCTCTCGGCCGTCATACCTGTATCGGCATACATTTTGCTCACGTCGAGACCAAGCTGTTGATTGCCCGTTTGCTTCAAACATTCAAGTTCAATCTTCTTCCAGGTCAAGACCTCAAACAAATGGAACACATGACGCTGAGCCCAAAGAACGGAGTGAGGTGCACGCTGTCCCTTAGGTGAACGCTGCCTTCTCTAGCATTTCACCTAAATTTTGACTTAGTCGTATATATGAATAACTTTTTCTTAGTCAAAATTTGTAGGCACGAGTGGGAATGGAGTTGTTAGTGTGAAAAAAAAAAACATAGAAACAGGTATTCGCGATTTGGAAACTAGGATTTGGTGTGCACCAACTTGCAAGATTATGTGAACGCTTACGTTGTCACTAGTAAGATCCCCACGAGACCCCTTACGAACAACGAGAGCTCTCACCGTATCACGTCAAACTATTCAAAATGGCGCCTACTGGGAATCGAAGCTCAAGCGTCAATATTGCTGATAGCTAATTCACACCAGGAAAAAACAAGACTAGTTAAACCGGCTGTAAGTGAATGAATGTCAGTAAGAGATATCTCAAAAACTGATTTGTCTATAGGTCTCAAGAAATCACTATAGTTATAACTTGTATTTTCAGTGAGTTACATTTGAATTCGACATCGGTTTAACATTTTAACCCCTAAGAGTGACCAGCATCTAATTTCTCCTTACAATATGACCCCCGAATCAAACACTAAGGCTATAAGAATAATGAAAATGATCAACAACTAAAGAAACTCTTGATTGATAAGGAAATTCTCCTCGTCAGCATCCTCAACTTCGTTCCCAGGGCCTTTTCCATTGGTTAGGGGAAGGAAATAAGGGATAAGGCCCTGGGAACGAGGTTGCGGCATCTTAAGAAATCGCGGTATGAGAACAGTACAGTATGGAGAATATGCATACTGATGTTGGGGTATAAAGAGTTAAGCAGGTTCTATGAAGAAAAAATTTCGGACAGCGTATAATGAAAATGCTTTAAAATATGTTTAACCTTTGGTGTGAGTGAGGAATTAGATTTGTTTCCAGTTTTTTATTAGGTCTTATTTCGCATTTGTGCTTGCGAATCTTCACAATATGACATTTTCAATTGCCGTGACTCTTGATTGTAAAAAGTTAAAAGCCGTGAACTGTGAACGATATGCCAGTCTTGATACGTGAAACAAAGAAATTATTTTCCGTTATTCGTGATAACTAAAAATAAAACGCAGTTTTTTTCCGCGAAAATTTACTTGCCGAAGACTTACGTCTGCAAAGCAACGCAAAACTCTCCATGCGTTCTCTAAC